CTGTAGGATTCAGCAGGAAGACTGCCTTTCAGCAGTCAGAGCCAAGCAATAAGAAATGCAAAGTTTAAAACGTGCTCATGGTTGGTTTCAAGAAGAGAAATGAAAAATATGCACACACCTTTTATCCAGATGTATTTTCTCTTGAGTTTTGTTCTGTGTGTTGCTGCTCCAAGTATTTTTCATAGATAGAACCTGAGTACCCTCTTCCTGCCTCTTGCCTCACACATTTGTAAAATCTTATTGCATCATTTACCATGAGATTTAAAGTAGGTAAACCTTAAACCTATAAAAGAATGTTTTTTGATCTTAAATGAATTATAGCAGGTCTGATCTTGTTTGTACCTAACTTGTAATTTGTACCTGAACAATTGTTAGTTTTTGCATGAATTAGGTGCTATGCATTGTGTATTTTATTTCACCCGATGACCTGATTCGCTATATATCAAGAATATCTTTGAAAAGCAATTGATATGTTAAACCATTATCATCAGAAGAGGCTGTTCTTTAGGTTAATTAGTGTAATTCTCTGGAGGTTATATTCTGTGGCCAACTTTGAGAAGCTTTTCCCTAAGTTCATATGAAATGTTTAGTATGACAAATCAAATTCCTTATGGCCTATCTTTTAGTTAAATGAACCAAACTAATCCTATTTATAGGATCCTAGTCCATTTAGGTTGCTCTAGCAGAAATCCCATAAACTGGGTGGCTTATCAAAAAAGATTTTTTTTCTCACATAGGTTCTATCTATGAAAAATACTTTGAGGCTGGGAAATCCAAGAATGTGGCAGTGGCAGATCTGTGTCTAGTGAGGGCCTGCTTCCTAGTTCATAGGTGGAAGTCTTTTCTCTCTATCCTCACACAACCAAAGGGACAAAGGATTTTATACTTAGGACCTGACCACCTCCTAGTGCCTGGACCTCAGGGTTAGGATTTTCAACACAGGAACTTAGAGAAGGGGCACAAATGTCCAGGCCATAGCAGATAACCTGGCAGATTCCTATAAATGTAAATGACAGTTTGAAAGCATTGCCACAGAATGTTTCTGTGCAAGTTTTGTGATCTTAATCAAAAAACATACTAATGTTTTCCCACATGGCCAAAATACCTGCAGTGTGTCCTCAGAGTGACTTCTGTTCCTTTCTGCTTTTAGTTTCTTCATCTTCCCCAAATGCTTCCACCCTCATATTTATCAATAACCTCCCAGGTATCTGTATTTAAAACCTTTTTCTTATTACAAAAGTAATAGAGTGCAGAAAATTTGCAGTTTTGAAAGGCATAGAAGATAAAAATCATCTGTGCTTTTGTCAAAATGAAAATCTTTTGTGACCTTTTTTCCTGCCGTAAGCATATATTATCAACATTCACATTGTTAAATACTCTAATGCATTATGATTTATAACATCAGTTTAAGTGGGCCATAATTTGTTTATTTTATAATCTAGGTTGGGTATTTTTTCTTTCTAGTTTGTGCTATTAAATATTTTCTTTCTAGTTTGTGCTATTAAATTTTCTAATTTGTGCTATAAAAATAACTATATAATGAAAATCTTGCTCAAAATTTGCAAGCCTCTCTATTATGTCACAGGATAAATTTCTAGAAGAGCAATCGACAGATCAAAAGGCATGGGCACTTTTATGGCTTAAACATGTGATTAGGTTGTCCTTCCTAAAAATGGTTCCAGTTAACACTGTTGCAGGATGTGTGTGAGTGTGCTACTTTCCTTGCACCTTTGCTCAAACTTAGTTGAGAAGGACACTTCAGAGAACCCTCCCCACTAATGCCCACTGCTTTTCTAAGACTTTCAGTCATGTTGTCTTCTTATGACACTCTGTTGGGCTATTTTTTTAAATTAACATTTTTTATTCTAATTTGTTACATATGACAGCAGAATACATTACAATTCATACTACACGTATAGTCTGTGGGGCTATTTTTAATTCTTAAATCAAAAAGTAGAAGTTGCATAAATTTATGGTATAGAAGTTACATAAACTTATGATATAGAATGTACACATACATAAACATAAATTTATGTTTATGTATGTGTACATTGCAGAGTGGCTAAGTCAAAATGGCAACATGAGCATTTCCTCCATACTTTTGTGTGTGTGGTGAAAACTCCCCAAATTTTCCAAGTAATATATTATTATTAACCATAGTCACCATGATGTATAATTGATCTCTTGAATTATTCCTCCCATCTACTGAAAGTTTTTTCTTTTGGCAACATCTCAGTACCCTCAGCCTTGAGTAATGACCATTTTGTTCTGTTTCTGTTTGATTTCACACTCCACGTAAGAGTGAGATCATGTGGAATCAATATTTTTTATTACATTTGTTATAATTGGATATGTATTTATATGGTTTTTAAAATTTTCCCCATACTAAATTCTCATGAGGACAGAGATCCTATATAGCTTATTGACCCCTGAATATCCAACACAGTACAGTGGGAAGAACATATATTATATGCTCAGTATATTTTTGTTAAATGAGTAAATGAATGTTTAAATTTCTTCTGATTTGACAGGTAAATATCTTACTGCTAATGAGTATTTGAGGTTGAACTTTGTTTTTATTGGTTATTTAGTGTTTTTAGTTAATTGCCTATTTATGTCTTCGTTTATTTTTCTGAGAAAATATGTCTATTCAGAGCTCTTTCTGGCTCTATAGGCTCCTATTCTGAATATGGCATATTTTCTTTGTAGCTTTCCAATTTTATTTTCTAAAATATTATATCTTGTTTACTTGATTTATTTCCCATTTCTGAGTCCAAAAGCATTGTTGACACCCGGTCTACCTTTGATTTTCCTCATGTGGGTTTACCTCCCTGAAGGTGTTCAATCTACCTTCTTAGCTATCTCTTCTACAATTTTCCCAATGCCTTCAGGCAACTATTTTTCTTTGTGAAGTTTCTTCTACTTTCAGTGCCTTCTTCACCATCTCTGCAAAAATTTGGCCATCCTTCAAAGCACTTCTAAAAATGAAACATGCTGAGTACTTGTAATTTGATGTGATGAATTCTTTTTTTGCCAGGAGGGGAGTACTAGCAACTGAACCCAGGGATACTTTACCACTGAGTCACATCCTTAGCCCTTTTTAATTTTGAAACAGGGTCTTACTAAATTACCAAGGCTGGCCTTGAACTTGAGTTGTAACAGCTTAACTCTGTCCTGCCTCTGGCTCCTGAGTCACTGGGATTATAGGCATGCATCTTTGTACTGGCAGGATTCTCTTTATTAGCACTTAGAGTCAGTTTTAGGTTGTAGCTGTTTATACATTCATTAATTTCCCTCTTAATTGTAATTGCCTCAAGAGGAATGATGTTGTCAAAGGTGACCTTCTTTGTCCCCTGAAACATCTAGCACAGTGATAATTTATTAAGTTGTTATGGTAAGAACATGTTGGGATATGATAAAAGAACAATAAGGAATGTAAACATAATAGTTTAACCAACATGGATATGCCCAAGAAAATATGAAACTGTGGAAAAACTTAAATCTTAGAAACTAAATAGGAAGCCATCAAGCTGCCAAAATGTTGAGGGATTTCTGCTAAATGTGGTGCTATTGAAGGATGGGCAGATTCTTGCAGAGATGGTGGAGAAGTTGCAGTGATATTGGATGAAAAGAGGAGTGAATAATGAAGAGTGAATTCTGCCAAGGGGAGCCCTGCCATACCAGAGGATCAGGACAGGGTCATATTGAACTCCTTCTGTGCACAGCCATGATTAGCACTCTCCATACCTCGCCTCCTAGTTTTCACATCAGCATATGAGAGATGGAAGTTATCTTCATTTTTCAGATAAAGAAATAGATTTCTTGGGCTGGGGCTGGGGCTCAGCAGTGGTGCACTTGCCTGGCATGTGTGAGGCACTGAGTTCAATTCTCAGCATCACTTTTAAATAAAATAAGTGTATCAACTAAAAAAATATATTTAAAAAAATAGGTTTCTTCACACAGGTTTTAAATAATGACAGGCCAAGTAAAAGACAACCCCCCAAAAAAAAGTTTAGAAGGAAAAAATATTATAGTGATTGTATCTTGGTGATAGGAGTTCATGTAATATGTATTTTTCTTTATAACTTCATGACTTCTCTAATTTAGTTGGCATGTGCTGCACATGACTTCATGATCTCTCTCACTTCATTGCTTTGTTCACTAGATATGGACCATGTGCATGTGCTCTCACTTCATTGCTTTGTTCACTAGACATGGACCATGTGCATGTGCTGCAGTCTGTTCTCTGGTCGCCTACTCCTTGACTGCTACCATGCATCAGATTTTTACTTTATTGGGCCTCTCTGTGCCAGTGGCTTCATTTGTTGTACTAAAATACTCACTCCTGCTATTTTAACTTGGGCCTCTCCTATCTACTTCCAATCTAAGTTTAGATTTTCATTTGTTATTTCCTTAACTTTATTCTGTTTTTTTTTCCCCCTCCTACTTTCTCAAATGTCTGATCTCCCTCCTATTTCCTTATATCTTTAGGAGGGCCCTTGCTTTTGACTCTCAGAATACTACAGCTATCAGAGTTACTCTCTGCCTTCTAGCCTCACATACAGAGTCTTGCTGTGCCACTGTTTTTCGTCCTTTGCTTCTGTTGCCACAAAATAGCTTTTCCTTCCTACTCTTTAGGGCTAGTGTCCCACCTGTGACTCACTCACTCCGTGTCTCCTGGTATTAGGCATTCACATTCACTAAGTATGTGTTTCATAAACATTTAGTACTTTTATAAATAGAAAATTAGTGGCAAAAATCCCTCTGAATCTGTTATAGAGAATGTTATAGTGGAGAATTCCTCATGTCTAGTTTTTGAAAATTTTATCTGCATATTTACGTGGTATAAAAAGTCACAGTGCTACTTCTTAAGAACAGTGTTTTATCCATTTGGTTGAAGTATATTTCCTTTTACAGATATTTCCTTTTTATGCTGTTTTAGATTTGTCTTTGACTTTATGTATGTCACAGGCTGTGACTTGACTTTTTTTGCCCCATAGTTGGAGAACACATTCAAATCGGTCATTGCACAAATTGGACCTGGAGGGACCATCAATCCAGAACTAAAACATAAGATAAAATTTGTAAGTATTTTCCTTTTTTGGAAGCAATAATAATTGTTTATAAATTCAGATATCATTTGTGGTTGAGTTTAATTTGCTTGTAGTTACACCTGATGCCTGATATTTTCTAATATATTGCAAATAGAATAGCTATTCTTTTAAAATGAAAAAATACATAAAGTACACACTATATAAAATTTCAGTGTAAAACTATTTAAGAAATATATAAGTTCTTCCTTCACTTTCTCCCCTCACCCTAATAATTCTAGTTTAAAATAAATGTTCATCAAATACTATTCCATATAATGTGTGGTATCTCATTATGTTTATCATGTTTCATTTATGAGATCCATGATTAATTAAATTTGGGTTATTTTTACCCTTGACTATTTAAAAATGCTGTAGTAAATGTCCTTGAACATTTATCCAGTAGTGGTTGCCAATCAAAAGCATTGGCTATTTGTTTTGCTAATAACTGTTACTACATTGCCCTCTGAAAGATTTGATTGAACAAATTTACTCTTCCACTGACAGTGAAGTGTTACTCTCCAGTCATGTTTTTTTAATTTATAACTGATTTTTATCCTGAGTGTCTTTAATATGCTTATAGTCATATTTTTTAAAATGTGAACTGCCTATTCATGTCTTTGGCCTAATCTGTTGTTTTCCCTTATTAAAATATGAAAACTCTTTGTTTTTATGCCTTGGGCCAAAGGGTGAACACATTTAAGATGTTGTGGGAGCTATTGATTCTGATTTGAATGATCAGGTGCCATCGTGGCTCTTACTGCCTTATACTGTCCATTTCAGGAGTTGTGACTTTACTGGGAGAAATGCAAAATCCCTGGTACATTCAGGCTGTGTTTTGATTTTTGTTCTTGAAACTCGAATACCTAATAATAATTTGTTATAGGATATATTAAATATGACTTTTTATGGTACCAAAAATTAGAGAAAAGTTAGTGTTCATTGGTAAAGGGTTGGTTAAATTATCCACATAGAGTAAGGAATATGATGTGGCTTGTAAGAAAGCTTATGTATTTCTCTCTTAGCAAACACTGAATTATCTCCTTCACATGTTGAACTTTAAAACCAGGTTTTATAGAATACCATGTTCAGTGTTCTCCTCTCGGAGTGAGTGATGTGGGTATACGTACACACACACACACACACACACACACACACACACGTTTCAAATGCATGCTTTCTGAAGTACATCATGGCTGTCTCTGGGATTTTTGAAAAAAAATTTTAATATATTTTTTTTTAGCTGTAGCTGTATATGATACCTTTATTTTATTTTTATGTGGTGCTGAGAATCGAGCCCAGTGCCGCACACATGCTAGGTGATTGCTTTACCACTGAGCCACAACCCGAGCCCCTTGAAATTTTTACTTTTTCCTGAAACTTGAATTTAGAAGTTTGTATTAAATATAATCAAGTAAAAACTAGGAAAACACAAAATTTTATGCTATATTGGAGATAGAACCAGTCATTTCTAGGGATTTATCTAAAAAAATCATTGGACAAATGTGCATAATGAAAATATGAGGTTAACAATTGCAGTATTTGTGATAATGAAAAATAAATGACTATAAAAAGGATACATTTAGGTACCTTGAATGTGAAACTATAGGGTTGTGAGGTTCTTATATTTTATGTGACGTAGTACGGATACATTTAGGTACCTTGAATATTTTGAAAAACCTGTCTGTAGCTTGTTTATCCATGTTTACTGATTAGAACAATGATTATGCAAACTTTAACCTTATTTTTATATGAACATAAATGTTTTATGTGGATATGGGCAATAATGGATTTTTAAAAAAAATTTTTTTAAACATACTTTTTTAGTTATTGATGGCTACGACCTACATACTGTGGGGTTGGGCTCCAAATTCCTCAATAGGACACCCATAGCACAAGAGTTAACATCTAGAATCAACAAATGGGACTTACTCAAACTAAAAAGTTTTTTCTCAGCAAAAGAAACAATAAGAGAGGTAAATAGGGAGCCTACATCATGGGAACAAATCTTTACTCCTCACACTTCAGATAGAGCCCTAATATCCAGAGTATATAAAGAACTCAAAAAATTAGACAATAAGATAACAAATAACCCAATCAACAAATGGGCCAAGGACCTGAACAGACACCTCTCAGAGGAGGACATACATTCAATCAACAAGTACATGGAAAAATGCTCACCATCTCTAGCAGTTGGAGAAATGCAAATCAAAACCACCCTAAGATACCATCTCACTCCAGTAAGATTGGCAGCCATTATGAAGTCAAACAACAACAAGTGCTGGCGAGGATGTGGGGAACAGGGTACACTTGTACATTGTTGGTGGGACTGCAAATTGGTGCAGCCAATTTGGAAAGCAGTATGGAGATTTCTTGGAAAGCTGGGAATGGAACCACCATTTGACCCAGCTATTCCCCTTCTCGGTCTATTCCCTAAAGACCTAATAAGAGCATGCTACAGGGACACTGCTACATCGATGTTCATAGCAGCACAATTCACAATAGCAAGACTGTGGAACCAACCTAGATGCCCTTCAATAGTCGAATGGATAAAAAAAATGTGGCATTTATACACAATGGAGTATTACTCTGCATTAAAAAATGACAAAATCATAGAATTTGGAGGGAAATGGATGGCATTAGAGCAGATTATGCTAAGTGAAGCTAGCCAAGCCCTAAAAAACAAATGCCAAATGTCTTCTTTGATATAAGGAGAGTAACTAAACAGACTAGGGAAGAAGAGCACGAGAAGAAGACCAACATTAAACAAGGATGAGAGGTGGGAGGGAAAGGGAGAGAGAAGGGAAATGGCATGGAAATGGAAGGAGACCCTCAGGGTTATACAAAATTACAATTATACAAGAGGAAGTGAGGGGAAAGGGAAAAATAATACAAGGGGGAGGAATGAATTACAGTAGAGGGGGTAGAGAGAGAAGAGGGGAGGGGAGGGGGGATAGTAGAGGATAGGAAAGGCAGCAGAATACAACAGACATGAGTATGTCAATATGTAAATCAATGGAAGTGTAACTGATGTGATTCTGCAAGCTGTATACGGGGTAAAATGGGAGTTCATAACCCACTTGAATCAAAATGTGAAATATGATATATCAAGAACTATGTAATGTTTTGAACAACCAACAATAAAAAAAAATAAAACTTACTTTTTTAGTTATTGATGGACCTTTAATTAATTAATTAATTAATTTATAGTGGTGCTGAGACTCAAACCCAGTGCCTCTCACATACTAGGCAAGTGCTCTTTCACTGAGCCACAACTCCAGCCAATGGCTATTTTTATAACTGTATTTTCTGAAATTTTCTATAGCATCCATTTGTATTTTTTGTAATTAAAATGTTTGAATATTAATGCACAATATTGTATGTGAGCTGAAAGCAAATATATTAGCTGGGCTAAAGAAACACAGGACTTTATGGGAGTTGTAGGATTATGTAATAGTGATTTCTCAACTCTGGAAATATTTGGAATCACTTTTATATATATTAAATCATAAAACTGATTTTTTAAAATAAAAGCATTATATGATATATTTGAATCATAATGCTATTTTTGCCTTTGTTACTATTTATACTATCTTATTTTAAACATTTGGTCTCCTAGTACTTCAATTCTATGTTGTATTTCATTTTCTTTTTATTAGGTTGTATCTAAGTTTCCAGAGGGTTTGTTAATTTCTAAACTTCTTGGGGAGTTTGAGGTAAGTGTTCTTTTTTTCTGTGATTTACATTTCTTGTGATAGAAATTTTGTTGCTATTCCTTGGATCCCTCAAGTCTATACCTTTAACATTTAAATACTGTTTTGCATTTTAGTGTCTTTTTCTTCATTTCAAGAGTTAAGGATATTTACTTGATTATGCATAAGAGGGCTCTTTTTACAACTTGGTGATAACATCTTTGGAATGAAAATTGATTTATTTTTGATGTCTGACAATACCAAGTGTCAATTGGAAATATGGAAAAATAATATCTCATTACACATTTTTTATTTTTTTATATCCAGTGAGATTAAGAATGAAGGGTAAAATAAGGGCATATTCAGATAATCAAATAGATAATTGTAAACACACCTGCACTATAAAGAGATGCTAAAGAATGTACCTCAGGGTGAAGAAAATGATGCCAGATTGGAACTTGAATCTCCAGGAAGACCTGTAGAATAAAGGATATATGGTATACCTAAAAATCTTTCTTTCACCAATTAAAATATGACTATTATTACAAAGATGATAGTATATAATTGGTTTTAACTTAAAGATATACTGTGCTACAGCATAATGAAATCAGGGCAGAATGTGAAACTATAGGGTTGTGAGGTTTTTATGTTTTTTGTGAGGTGATACAATAAGGCTGAGAAGTTAAAGATGTGTACTATAATACCTAGAACAATAATTAAAATGTAGTTACAGCATAAATTTAATAGATGCTTTAAAATTCAATTGTATAAAAACATATTGTAAATGCAAACAAAGACTGGGAAGGAGGGAACAGGCGATAGATATACGATTGGAATCAACAGAAATTTTTTAAATTTTTTTTTTATTAGCTACACATGACATTACAATGATCTTGGCAATTCATACATTTGAATCATTGGGGTATAATTTCTCACTTTTCTAGTTGTACAGTGGAATCAACAGAAATTAATAGTGGTAATTTTAAATCTAGTTATAGTAATTTCATAAGTGTAAATGGACTACTATTAAAATTTGGAAATGAGACTGTGGAAAGCAAGATGCAACTATATGTTATCTACAGGGAACACAACATAAATGTGAGGATAGATTGGTTCAAAATAAAAGATAAGAAATATTTACAAGAAATATAAAAAAACTGAAGTGACTAAAACAACTTCAGATAATACATTGGGCTTGAAGCCTGCTTTATCAGCAATTGGCACATTCCATCAGGGTTAAGGGCCAGTTCTTCAGGAAGACGATCATAAATGTGAATTCACCTAATAAATAGTATAAACATTCTCTGAAGTTTGACAGAATTAAGAATTCTATAAATCTAGTTGGAGATCTTAATACTGTCTTCCCAAATGACTAAAAAAAAGAACGTTCTATATCTTGTATATATATTGAAGCAAATTGAATGGAAAATGTAGGTTTACCATTTCAATATGAATTTTATAAAAAGTTAAAAGATTTTGAATTCTAGATAATAATGTATGTGCTGACATTTTGTGGGGAAAACATTGATGTCTGTAGGTTACTTTGAAATATATAAAAAAATGAACTGATGGATAGATTTATTGATGATAAAACAAAATAATGCTGATAATTCTATAATTTGGGTGATAGAGTTCTGTCCAATTCTTTAACCTTTTTCTGTTTTAAATTTTTATAAGAAAAATGTTATTAAAAGAACAAGAAAAGATAAAAAAGAATTTAAGAAAAAGTAACAGATATTGAAAACAGGCAAAATAAAGTTAACATGAATAATAATGCCAAAGAAAAGAATAACAAAGTAATTCAAATAAACTTTACTGAAATGAAATATTTGAAACTATTATTTTTTTATTGGTTGTTCAAAACATTACAAAGCTCATGACATATCATCTTTCATACCTTTGATTCAAGTGGGTTATGAACTCCTATTTTTACCTCAAATACAGATTGCAGAATCACATCGGTTACACATCCACATTTTTACATAATACCATATTAGTGACTGTTGTATTCTGCTACCTTTCCTATCCCCTACTATCCCCCCTCCCCTTCCCTCTTGTCTTCCCTCTCTATCCTATCTGCTGTTATTCAATTCTCTCCCTGTTTTTTTCCCCTTTCCTCTCAAAATCTCTTATATGTAATTTTGTGTAACAATGAGGGTCTCCTTCCATTTCCATACAGTTTCCCTTCTCTCTCCCTTTCTCTCCCCCTGCTCGTCTGTTTAATGTTAATCTTTTCCTCATGCTCTTCTTCCCTATTCTGTTCATAGTTGCTCTCTTTATATCAAAGAAGACATCTGGCATTTGTTTTTTTAAGGATTGGCTAGCTTCACCTAGCATAATCTGCTCTAATGCCATCCATTTCCCTGCAAAATCCATGATTTTGTCGTTTCTTAGTGCTGTGTAATACTCCATTGTGTATAAATGCCACATTTTTTTAAATCCATTCATCTATTGAAGGGCATCTAGGTTGATTCCAGAGTCTAGCTATTATGAATTGTGCCGCTATCATCATTGATGTGGCAGTATCCCTATAGTATGCTGTTTTAAGGTCCTCAGGGAATAGACCAAGAAGGGCGATAGCTGGGTCAAATGGTGGTTCCATTCCCAGCTTTCCCAGGAATCTCCATACTGCTTTCCATATTGGCCGCACCAATTTGCAGTCCCACCAGCAATGTACCAAGTGTACCCTTTTCCCCACATCCTCGCCAGAACTTATTGTTGTTTGACTTCATAATGGCTGCCAATCTTACCGGAGTGAGATGGTATCTTAGGGTAGTTTTGATTTGGATTTCTCTGACTGCTAGAGATAGCATTTTTTCATGTACTTATTGATTGATTGTATGTCCTCCTCTGAGAAGTGTCTGTTCAGGTCCTTGGCCCATTTGTTGATTGGGTTATTTGTTATCTTATTGTTTAATTTTTTGAGTTCTTTGTATATTCTGGTATTAGGGCTCTATCTGAAGTGTGAGGAGTAAAAATTTGTTCCCAGGATGTAGGTTCCCTATTTTCCTCTCTTATTGTTTCTCTTGCTGAGAAAACCCTTTTTAGTTTCAGTAAGTCCCATTTGTTTATTCTTGTATTTAACTCTTGGGCTATGGGCGTCCTATTAAGGAATTTGGAGCCCGACCCCATAATATGTAGATCGGAGCCAACTTTTTCTTCTATCAGGCACAGAGTCTCTGATTTGATATCAAGCTCTTTGATCCATTTTGAATTAACTTTTGTGCTTGGCAAGAGAAAGGGGTTCAGCTTCATTTTGTTGCATATGGATTTCCAGTTGAAACTATTATTGAAAGAGTGCACTAGCAGCTGGGGTTGTAGCTCAGTGGCAGAGTGCTTGCCTGGCATGTGTAAGGCACTGGGTTCGATCTTCACCACATAAAAGTAAAAAAAAAATAGATTGTATCCATCTACAACTAAAAGATAAAAAAAAATTGTACTGCATGCTTAAATCGTTAACCTAGAATAACCAACACCAAATTAGTGGACTTCAAAGAAAAAGGAAGAAATTCCTTTGACCATTTAAAACAAAAAGAGCAAGTGATTTGTAAGGAAATAAAATTAGATCATTATACATTTTTATATCTTGTTTTGCCAGAGGAAAGTAACATATTTCAAATATTCAAGGAAAGAAAATGTGAGCCAAGAATTTTATGCTAGCAAAACTGACTCAACTGTAGAGACAGACTACAACCATGCAAGAATTCAAGAATTGTTGTTCCCTTGAACCATTCTGAAGACATCTTCTACAGAGTCATCATGTCATATTAATAAAAGGACTGACATTTAATGCTACTTCCACAACCAAAACCAAATGAAGTTAGGAGAAAATATATGATGGCTGTATACTCTTGTGAATACATACACAAAATTAAATGGAGAAGGGTTGAATATATGCCAAAGTTTAATTTTTATTATATTATGGTAATCTTATTCTGAAACCATTGTTATGTGATGGGTACAAGGCAAATTAATTATGAGATGGTTCTACTAGTATATACAAGTGTTTTCTAATTGCATAAATCAAGACTGGAACATTTTGTCATAGCAGACCAACAAGGAAACTGCTAAGAAAAGGGTCATATCAAAAGGGCTTACAAATCTACTTGAAGAGTTATTTTAGGCTTTAGTAGGATAATAATAGCAATGACTTAAAGCAATGACCAAATATATTTAATTCCATATGTTTATATGATATTAAAAAACAATTGGTTAACATAGAAGATGATAGAGAACAAATCACCTTTTCGAAAAATGATAAATTTAGTCACTTATCCTGATTTTTCTAAGAGAATTGTATGACTGAATAACCAAAAGAAAATGAGGGGAAGAATATCCTTATAAAAATCTTCCAATTAAATAATGAAAAATAATTGATAGAATAACTCTATTAAAGCCCTATATAAAATAACGGATCTTGGTACTGACCAGTGATGGTCCCTAAGAACACCAAAAAGACTATTGGACATTGTGTGCCTTTTTAGAACACACAGGCTTATTTACAGTCTTGTCAAAGAGATCAGTCATGAGTTTTATCCAGTTGCCAATGAAGGAAATAATATTCCACTATGAGCTTGTCATCTGAAAAATCCAGTTGGGAAACAAAATCATGTAATAGGATATATACATAGCTTTGACAGTATAAGTATAAACTCTAAGGAAAAATAATAAGAGTAAAATTGAATGGGCAATGGAAGGGAAGTAAGGAAAGTAGGAGTAGAAATATATCAAATCTGTAGTTGTCCATAGTTGGGAGTCAGTAAAGCAGAAAGCATAACAAAAGAGAAAGCATAACAAAGGAATTAGGACAAAACATATTTGACACATCAATGCATTGACTCAGGTATCCTATCAAAAGAAAATGATTCTCGGGCTCATAAAACTCTACTGTTTCGTGTACTAATAGGAAACTAATGTCTCTATTTAACAGCAAAAGGCAAGATTCGTATGATGTATATAATCTTAAAGCATATTCAAGTTTTCACAATTTCTGGAAATTTGCATATAATGATAGTTACTTCCAGGAGATGATTGCTAGGTGACTGAAGAATGGGGGTGAGCTGGAGACTGTTCTGCTATATACCTTCTTGAACCTTTTGAATGTTACCTATTCAAAAAGTTAGTAACATTTTAAAAAATCCTTTCAACCTAGTCTTACATTCAATTGAATTGTATTTCTATATAGACACTTATAAGAAGGGTATTAAAAAAACTATTAAAGACTAATGAACATAAAGGGAAAAGAAGCCTTAAGATATAATATACAGGGCTGGGGTTGTAGCTCAGTGGTAGAGTGCTCGCCTAGCACATATGAGGCACTGGGTTCAAACTTCAGCACCACATAAAAATAAACAAAATAAAGATATTGTGTCCATCTACAACTAAAAAAATACATTAAAAAGATATAATGTACAAAGAAGTAAGTAGAGATATTAACTCTACTTTTCCATCACTCATGCCCTATTCTCTACCAATTCTTTTTCCTTTGGGATGCTCATGGGTGGCTACAAATGTGATATTAATGACCCTTGTTCTATTGCTCTATCATGGTTCAAGAGATAAAAGTTGAATTAAGAATTTGATCATTTTAATGGTGGGTCTTTTTTTTTAATTGTGCAGCTTTTATTTGAAATCTTCGTATCCTTTCAAGTGGGGTTGTATCAATACAGAGCATTCAAACAGTTTTAACTGTTAATGAGCTGAGTAACAACTCAGCTCTCCATTACCATAGTGAAAGACTAAGATAATTAAAACAGAAAAGGCTAAGATTGGTTCATAATGTGGCGGCTCTGTTCATGCCTGATTTCTTTGGGCCTGTGGCAAGGCAGCACTTCATAGCAGGAAAATGTAGAACATGTAGCAGAGCAAAATCACTCATGTTATTCAGGGAACAAAAGGAGTGAGGAGGGGGGCCAGGCTCCCACCAACTTCAAGAGCACACCCAGTGACCTGAAGACCTCTCACTGGGCCCCGCATCTTAAAGTTTCCATCATATCCATGCAGTATCACCTTGAGTCTGCACCTTTTAACACAGAGGCCTTTGGGGAACATTCAACATTCAAAATATAGCAGACTGAATCATTCAATCTATTTAATATCTACAGACTTATTTAAATCTTTTAAAATTTATTTTAATTAGGTCTATATGACAGCAGACTGCATTTGATTCATGGTACACAATTGTAGTACAACTTTTCATTTCTCTGGTTGTACACGATCTAGCATTGCACCATGTGCAGTCATACATGTACCTAGGGTAATGATGTAAGTCTCATTCCACCATCTTTCCTGCCCCTATGTTCCCACCCCACCTGTCCCTCCTTTGCCCAAAGTTCCTCCATTTTTCCCGTACTCTCCTCCCCTATGAATCAGCATCCACTTATCAGAACATTTAGCCTTTGGTTTTGGGGAACTGGTTTACCTGGCTTAGCATGATATTCTCCAACTCCATCCATTTACCTGCAAATGCCATAATTTTTTTCTTTTCTAATGCTGAGTGATATTCCATTGTGTATATATCACAGTTTCTTTATCCATTATTTATAAATGGTGAATCTTTTGACAAGGGAAAATTTACCAGTTCTCCGTGCAGTTTTAACCCAAACTAGTGTGGTACCCCATATTTTCTCTCCCATCTTTATTAATTTTCTTCTTTACCAAGGCAATAAAATTGAATTGAACACTACAGGAAATATAAGAAACCTGCTTATTTTGCCCAACTTCTAAGGTGAAATAATAAAATTTAAGGAAATATTTTAAATAGTAATGCCAATTCTGCATGTTGAAAATGGTCAAGGATATTCTTTCTCTGAAAAATATAGAAATAAGAATAGGCTTATTATGAGTTTTGTAGTTTATACATTCTTCACTCCCAAATACCTTTGCTTTATAATCAAATATTGTTAAAAATGAGAGGTGAAAAGTTCCCCTCACTTTCACTTCAATTTATTATATACTCTCAAGGGAACTTGACATTGGCCTAGAAGTTTATGGTAAGGGATTATTAGCCACTTTTGTAAAATGCTTGGGTGGAAACACAGCTTTACACCCAAGTTCACTGAACCTTAAAATTTTAGCTTAGCTAAATTCAAATTAAAGCATTGTCCAAGAGTATCTGTACATATTTTATTTCTGCTATCTAATGTTTTTCATAATTTCCATTTATTTTTGTGACAGGCAGTTTTTAAAGAGCAACTTTCACCAAAAAAATTGGGCTTTTTAAATGTGACAGAACTTGTTGGAGCTCTTAGTGATATTCTTCGTGTTGAGTTCAGGGAAGGAGAACAAGACTTGCTAGTGTTTGATGCTGATATGAGGCCGGTACTAACAGGTAAGTTGTCCCACAGTGTAATGCAAACCTCATTTTTAATTGTTTTTGTAAGAACAGGAGAAAAGAAAATATTGGCTAGGTAAGAGTCATCTTTATAACTACATCAGACAAACATATTATGTATTAGCATTGGAATGTTTTATGTGTAACGATCTTTTTTCTGGTGGTATTTATTGTAATAAAGTTAACTGTATTATTAATTTTAAAAATTGAATTTTTTTTCCTTGGTGGAGATTGACTTGAAGAGCATTCTGCCTCAGAGCTACATACCTAGTCCTTTTATTTTGAGGCAGGGTCTTGCTAAGTTGCCCAGGTGGGCCTCAAATTTATGATCCTTCTGCCTTAGCCTCTGAATTTTTAAAATTAATTCATTGTGCCAGACACAGTGACACTTGCCTATAATCCCAGCAATCCAGGAAGCTAAGATAGGAAGATTACAAGTTCAAGGCCAGCCTCAGCAATTTAGCAAGGTTTGAAGCAATATAGAAAGGTCCTGTCCCACGATAAAAAATAAAAAGTGTTGGGGATATAGCTCAGTGGTTAAGTATCCCTGAGTTCAGTCCCCAATACCATAAATAAATAAATGAATTTTTTGATAATCCTGAAGAGAATTTTCTGATTAAATGGTCTGATAGTTCAGTGGTTAACTTTGGCTATATATCAAAAGCATTTTAGAAAGATGTGGAGATTCAGAATAAATGGGTATGCATTCATAACCCCTCTTGCATTTTTAAAATAACTATTTGAGGATAATTTTAGGCTTATGGAAAAGTTGCAAAGGTAGTACCAAGTTCCCATATTCTTTTCATACATTTTCCTCTAATATTATTATCTTTAATATTACTGTAATTTATTTGTCAGAGCTAAGACATTAACATTGGCACATTGTAACTAACTAAACTCCAGATTCTATTACCAATTTTTCTTTTTTTTTATTGGCTGTTCAAAACATTACAAAGCTCATGACATATCATCTTTCATACCTTTGATTCAAGTGAGTTATGAACTCCTATTTTTACCCCAAATACAAATTGCAGAATCACATCAGTTACACATTCACATTTTTACATAATGCCTTATTAGTGACTGTTGTATTCTGCTACCTTTCCTATCCCCTACTATCCCCCCTCCCCTCCCCTCCCATCTTCCCTCTCTACCTCATCTGCTGTTGTTCAGTTCTCACCCTTGTTTCCCCCTCCTTTCCGCTCACAACCTCTTGTATATGATTTTGTATAACATTGAGGGTTTCCTTCCATTTCCATGCAATTTCCCTTCTCTCTCCCTTTCCCCCTACCACTCGTCTCTGTTTAATGTTAATCTTTTCCTCATGCTCTTCCTCCCTGCTCAGTTCTTAGTTGCTCTCCTTAAATCAGAGACATTTGGCATTTGTTTTTTAAGGATTGGCTAGCTTCACTTAGCATAATCTGCTCTAATGCCATCCATTTCCCTGCAAATTCCATGATTTTGTCATTTTTTAGTGCTGCGTAAT